CTGAATTCATTCAGAAGTTTATCCCTGTCTTCCTTCAGTTCTTTGATTTCTTTTTTTGGGTGTTCTTTAAATTCACCGAATTCTTTTATCATGTTTATAATTGTTCTTTTGCGTTCCATGTCCTGCATTATTTCTAGGGGGTTCTCATTGTACTCCTGTAGAGGACTGTTGGTATTTGGTGGGGATATGTTATTTTGGTTTTTCATGTTATTATTTTTTGTCTGTGATTTTGACATGTGAATTTCTTTTGTAGTTTCTGATTCTTGTGTGAGACTCGGGCCTTCAAGTTTAGGTCTGCTTCTTTTTGTGAACTTTATGTGTCTTCGTGGTTTACTTTGGGGCATGAAAATCTGGTTCCTCTAAGCTTTCGGTTCTCTTTTGATTTTATATTGGAGTGGCCAGATTGCTTTTGTCTTCACAAGTTCCCACAGAGGCCCAAGTCAGATCAGGATCAGATGCTCTCAGGCTTTCTCCTAAGTTCTGGATCACTGCAGGAAAGATTTTGGCCTCAGGAATTTGGGGGTTGGACTGGCCTGGGACCTGGGCCCAGAAAAGATGCTGGTGTAGGGCAGCTGTTGATTTGCCACCCAGAGATGCAAAGGCAGATGGGGGGTGTGGAACGGCCCCAAGGGCTCCTGGGGACTGCACTGAGGAGCTTAGTTGGTCTGGATGCAAAGGATCAGGAAGAGGAAAGTTCAGCCCAAGCATCCAGTAGAGGCTGGAGGGTGGTGCAGGCCCAGGGAAGTAGAGGGAGGTGAGGGCGGGCCCAGGCCCAGAATGCTCTTGGAGACCCTAAAAGGTACTGAGTTGGTCTGGATGCAAAGGATCAGGAAGCAGTGGTGGTTCCCCAGGTGTCTGGGGCACCAAGACAAGGAATGTGACAGGACCCAGGGTAGGAGGAGAGACCGGTCAGGGAGATGCGAGGGTGAATGAGGTTGGGGGAGTCAAGGCATGAGGGGCCAATCGACTTACCCTGGAAAGAGAGGCCTGTGGGTTGGAGAGAGGCCTGTGGGTAGTGCAGGCCCAGGGATGCAGAGGGAGGTGAGGCCGGGGCCAGGCCCAGAAGCAGTGCTTCTGGGGACCAGAGAAGGCACTGAGTTGGTCTGGAGGCAAAGGATCAGGAAGCAGTGGTGGTTCCCCAGGTGTCTGGGGTGCCAAGACAAGGAATGGGACAGGACCCAGGCTAGGAGGAGAGACCAATGGGGGAAATGGGTAGGTGACAGAGGCTGGGGGAGTCAAGGCACGGAGGGCTTGATGGAATTACCCTGGAGAAAGAAGCCTGCAGGCCCAGGGAATCAGAGCTCATTTTTAGTTTTTTAAGAGTTCTCCACACTGTTTTCCATGGCGGTTGCACGAGTTTTCAATCCCACCAGCAGTGAATGAACGATCCCCTTTCTCCACATCCTCACCAGCATTGGTATCATTTGTTCTCTTGATCCTAGGCCAGTCTGATTGGGGTAAGGTGAAACCTTAGGGTGGTTTTAATTTGCATTTCCCTAATTACTAACGATGTTGAACACTTTTTGAGATGTTTTTAAACCAACTTTATTTCATCCTTTGGGAATTCTCTTTTTAGATTTTTAGCCCATATTTTAATTGGGTCATTTGCTTTCTCGCTTGATCTTTAAGTTCTTTATTTATTCTGGATATTACACATCTGTCAGATGTGTCACTGATGAAGATTTTTTTCCCACTCTGGGTTTTCTCTTTATTTTTTTGATTGTTTCTTTTGCTCTACAGAAGCTTTTTAGTTTAATGAGATCCCACATGTAAAATCAGAAATTTAATAGAGGTAGAGAGACATGAACTCTAAAATTATTTACATTTTGAAAAAAAATTCCTTTTACTTTATTTAGGTTATGAATTAAGTAAACAGGAAAAAGTAATAGCATTAAAAGTATGTAGAAAGGGAACATTTAGATTTTATGCTCTCTAAGGAACTCTTTCAAAACAAGAAATTTGATGTGGATGTTGAGTTGTGGATCAGATGTAGACACTCTTGTTTTCAATTTGGTTAGTCAGAATAACTAGAAATTCTAATAGAATTAAATAGACCATGCTAGGTGACTTAAAAAAAAAGATGTAAATGTATACTTAGATGACAGTTTTAAAAGTCTAAAGTAATATCTAGAGCCTTTTTATGTTTAGAGAAGGATTTTCTTGTCTAGGGCTATTGTGCAGCTGTAGAGCACTCACCCACTATGCCTGAGATCCAGGATTCAGTCCCAGCACTGAAAAAAAAATTGTTTTCTTGATTTCTGGCTGAGTGAGCAGGCAATACGTTAGGAGATACTGAGTGGCTGAAGATTTAAAAGATTTTCATCATTTCAGAAAGTTCTGTTCAACAGTGGTACATGCTTTGCACGTTATCTTTCCTTCATAACTCTTGAAGGTCTCTCTTATTTTTTATTATGAGAGTAGGAAACTAAGCTTATAAGATAGTAAGTTGCCTAGGCTATGTTTCTAAATAGATGAAGAAAAATGGTACAGCTCCTAATGTCAGAGGATTTACTCTGTAATGAGAACACAGATAAGATATAGGACGTAGTATGATAAAATAAGTCACAAAGTTTTTATAAGAGCACAGAGGAGAGGTGCCTACTGTAGAGCCACAGTAGTGATGGGTTCCTGGAAGAAGCCCTGTTTAAGCCTTGAAACTCAGCATGATAATAGATTAAGGCAGCATAGATGAATTAGGGCAATATTGTAAATGAAACAGATGAAAGTATGTATCATACGGCATACTTCCTAATGTTTGAACTCTTTTAAATGAAGATTAGGACTATATGGTCAGTGGGTTAGGGAATGTTGTAGATAAAGATAGCAGCAGCATGTGCAAAGGCATTCTAGGGAAAAAGAACGCCATTCCTTAGAGTGTTATAAGTACTGTAGCTTGTTCTTGTCTTGAAGGAGGGCCTGGGGGGAGGAAATTAAATTTGAAAAGAAAATGAGACCAACCTTTAGGACTTTATTTAAGTGCCAATTTTATCTATGAATGACAGCTAGAAATCAAAATGTAGTCAAGGAATGAGACTTAATGAAAACAGATTATATAATAATATTGAAAAAGACTATATTTACTACTCTATTAGGTTAAACGATATGAAATATGTTGTTACAGAAATTTTCCACTGAAAATATGAATTTATACCTACTAAGTAATACTCAAATTTCTTTTGTATTTTTAGCAACCTGGAAGCTTTTCTAGCTGGTCTGGTAGTTTCCTCATGGATGATAGCATGTCTAACACACTAAATAACCTTGAGGAACACACTACTGAATTTTACAATATGGAGGAAAATCAGACTGTTTCTGCTCAGCAGAATTCACCCACGAAGTTTCTAGCTGTAGAAGCAAATGCTGTACTGTCTTCTCTACAGACCATCCCAGAATTTGCAGAGACTCTAGAACTTATTGAATCTGTAAGTCTGAAATTGTGGAATTATCGAAAGCTCAGTTTTAGTTACATGATTCCATGTTTAGACGCTCATGTTAATACATACCTACCAACTTAATGTTAACTATTACTTAATTCTGCTCTACTTTATAGAGGTTATGACAGAATTAAAGGCTTAAATCTTTCTCAAGCATGTGTCTCATAAAAGAATTTTATAATTAAAAACATTCTTTTTTGCATAAATTGTTCAAATAAATTAGAGAAATTTGGAAACTAGAGAAACTGTAAAGAACATTAAAAATCCCCCTGTATAGGGGCTGCAGAGATGGCTCAGTGGTTAAGAACACTGGTTGTTTTTGCAGAAGACCTAGGTTCGAATCCCAGCACCCACATGGCAGCTGACAACTGTCGGTAACTCTAGTCCCAGGGGATCCAACAGCCTCTTCTGACCTCTGTGGGCATTGCATGACACGGGTGTACTTACCTACATGCAGGAAATATACACATACACATAAAATAAAAAAAATAAAATAAAATAAAAATCCCCTGTATATTCAGAGTTGATTATTTGGTATATGTAAACCCACTTACATATTTCATATTATATTTTTGTCTTATATTGTGAGTCTGTCTTTATTTTATTATGTGAAGTACTTTGACAAAGTTTCAGCTACTGAATTAGATGAAATACTATCTTGAAATGTTCCAAATGATAGAGAAACTATAATCTTCTAAAGTAGTCTTATTTAAACAAAGGTGTCTATGGAAAACCTGTTTTTCCTGGTAAAAATGAGTAAATAAGTTGGTAGAAATCATTCGTGTTCAGATCATATTTTGTTACAGCATTAACTTTAGTTAAGAATTCATTTTTTTTTTATTTTTTTAGGATCCTGTAGCATGGAGCGATGTTACTAGTTTTGATCTTTCTGATGCTGCTGCTTCTCCTGTCAAGTCTACCCCAGTTAAACTAATGCGAATTCAACACAATGAAGGAGCCATGGAATGTCAGTTTAATGTCAGTCTTGTACTTGAGGGGAAAAAGAACAGTTGTAATGGTGGAGCCAGTGAAGCTGTTCCTTTAACATCCCCAAATGTGGTCAAGTTTAGCACTCCACCAACCATCCTCAGAAAGAAGAAAAGGATGCGAGTGGGTCAGTCTCTAGGCAATGAACTTGGTGATGACTCATTCAATGATGGCGGTAATATGGTACTGAAACACACACCAGTGAAAACACTACCGTTTTCTCCTTCACAGGTAGTAATGCTTTTATTTATGTTTCCAAATCTTAACAAGATAGATTAAATTAGATCTTTGGTATCTTTAGTAGCAGTTTGTTGCTTAGCACACAAAAATAGATAATGTTGTTTAAATGTATAAATGAGAATTCTAAACTCAAAAGGTATCTTACAAAACATAGTAGCTTCATTATAGTATACTGCAATTTTAAGAGATAAAAGGTAGGTTTTCTTTGCCATGTACTCCTATATCTTTATAAGTCTCCTCAGGCAATTGGCCCCCAAAAGTAAAATGATTTATTTGTCCAAAGTTATCTAATGCAAAGATCCAGATGACTCTTCAATCTTTGTGTACAGCAATTTAGATTTTCATTTACCTACTACATTTTCCTCCTTGACATTCTTTGGAAGAAACTTAGAAAGAAGTTTAAGAATCTCATGTCAGGTATTATAGGGATGTTGAAAACTACCCGCTTAAATCTTTAGTAATGTCCCCAAGCAGCAGATATATACATTAGGAAGAATTCTTCTTGAGCTCTTGCTATATTCCAGGCTGTGTGGTAAACACATTTCTTATAGCATCTCATTTAATCTTCTTTCAAAAAACCATAGAAGATGGAGTTGGGGATTTAGCTCAATGGTAGCATGCTTGCCTAGAAAGCGCAAGGCCCTGGGTTCAGCCCTCAGCTCCAAAAACAACAACAACAACAAAAAAAAAAAAAACCCCATAGAAGTTAGGAAGAATAAAATTTTGAAGTTGAGCAACATGTTAGGTCATAATAAGAGATGGAGCTGCTGTTTTCCTGAAGGTTTTTATTTTAATTTTAATTTTTGAGAATTTCATACATGAATATTGTCTTTGCATTATTTCCATCCCTCCCAGCCCCCTCCAACTCCTTCCATGTACCCATACCCTCAATTTCTTGTTCTCTTCTTTACTATTACATATATATGTATATACATATATAATATATATGTAAAATGCACTGAGTCCATTTAGTGGTACTCATGTGTACCTGTCCACTTGGATTAGATAACCTCTCAGGGAACTAGTCCCTGGAGAAAACTGATTCTTCCTCCCTCAGTATCCATTGATTTCCTTAACTCTTCATCTTGAGTTAGGGAGCCCCCATGAAATTTCCCCCATCCACCTTGGCATGTCAACTGGTTTTGTCATTATGCAGATCTTGTTAGACTATGATACTGTGGAGATTTCATTGGTGCGGCTTCCCTATCATGTCTAGAATGCTTTAACCAGTAGCAGGTGTCTTATCTCTCTGATTTTTCATTCTTTCTACCCCATTTTCCTAGGTTCTTCTCTAGGGTCTCTGACCTCTCCAGCCATGTGTACTTGGCTATGTTTACAGCATATTACAGCATGTTACACTTGCTTTCTTTTCTATTGAGTGGGTCTTAAGTCCAGTTCAACAGCTGTTAATTACCTCCCAGAGAAAAGTGCTACTACTGCACCAATAGAGAAAATTTGCTGAGCCAGTCATTGTCTGGTTTGTAGACTTTAACATCTGAAGAGGATCATTGATTGTTTTTCTCTCTTATCAGCTTGTGTAGTAACTTCTGGTACTAAAAGAGCTAGTCCTTAGGGAGGAGGCTTCCTGGTCAGTTCTAGCTTATTGGTCCAAGTCCTATGTTCAAAGTATGTCATGTCTTCAGCAATAGGGTCCTATCTTCAAGTTCTGGGAAGTAATCAAGGGCTGTGGCAATGGCTTGTATTATTTTGGGAGTTTCTTGGTCTACCCTGACCAACAATTTGAAAGGATATTTCCCATGCCTGGCACTGTGATTTTTGTTATATATCTTTATGCACATACACTCACATTTATATGTGTATTTTTCGGTAGGCTTCTTAAATACTACATTTCCCTTTGGTTTTTCATACCACTTAAGCATTATTTATCTCTCTCTTCTCTCTCCCCACCTGAAAATGTTTTGACAGATTATCTTAGTTTCTTTTTTGTTGATGTGATAAAATGCCTTGACAAAAGCAGCTTAAGGAAGGGTTCATTTTAACCCATAGTTTCATGTTATGGTACAGGGGAAGTCACAGTGTTAGGAGCTTGAGGGAACTAGTCACTTTATATCTACAGTCAGAAGGAAGCTGTGAACGGATGCATGCTGCTTCTCAGCTCCTTTTCTTACATAGTCCAGGATCCACTGCCCAGGGAATGAATGGTCCCTACTGTTTTTTTAGGCTTGATTTTCCTACCTCATTTAACCCCATTAAGATAATTCCTCACTGCCATGCTCAGGGGTCCATCTCTCAGGTGATTCTAGATTTTTTTTCAAGTTGAAAATTAGGGGCTGGAGAGATGGCTTAGTGGTTAAGGGCACTGGCTATTCTTGCAGAAGACCTGGGTTTGAATCCCAGCACCCATATGATGGCTAAAAACCATCTGTAAGTCCAGTTTCAGGGGGATCTGATGCCCTCTTCTGTCCTCTGAAGGCACTGCATGACACAGGTGCACTTATATACATGCAGGCATACTACTCACACATAAAATAAAAATAAATTAAAAAAAGAAAAATTAACACTAACCATCACAGAGATGTTTAAAAAGTTTTATGAGAGAAATAGGGAGTTTAATGGAGGATGCTGGAATATTATTATAGGTATATTTTAAGGCCGAGAAGATATGTAGGATATGGCAGTACACAGCTACTGTGATCTGAAGATATGTAAGATCTGGCAGTACATAGCCACTGTGATCTGAAAGTTGTGTCTCCATGTTTGAGGGGATATAATTTACATAGACTGCAGTATGAATCTTAACTCCCTGTCTGGTTCCAAAGCTCAAACTCATCCCAGGGAAAGTGAAAAGTTTCCATTTCTGGAGCTTTATACACTAGCAATTTTAAAAATTATATATATATATATATATTTTTTTTTAAATTTTATTTTATGTGTATTCGTGTATTGCCTGCATGTAGGTAAGTGCACCCGTGTTGTGCAATACCCACAGAGGACAGAAGAGGCTGTCGGATCAGCTGGAACTGGAGTTATGGACAGTTGTTAGCGGCCATGTGGGTGCTGGGATTTGAACCAGGGTCTTCTGCAAGAACAACCAGTGTTCTTAACTGCTGAGCCATCTGTCCAGCCCCTAAAATTTTATATATTTATTGATTCTTTGAGAATTTCATACCATGTATTTTAGTCATATTCAAATCTCCTCTCAGAACCCTCCCCCCATTTCTTCTCAGACCTGTCCCACTTCCCTATCTCCACACTTAATGTCCTCTGTTTTTTTGTTTAAAGCCTATTGAGGAATTTGTGTTTTTCTTATGTTCCATCCCTTGGAGCTTGGTCAGTCTACCCAGCATCACATCCTTAAAGAAAACTGACTCTCCCTCTCCCAGCAGCTATCAGTTGATCATCAGCTAGGGCTGGGGCTTTTTGCCTACTTTCCCCATTCATGATGGGATTTTATCTTGGGCTGGTGCTGGTTTTGTACATTCTGTCAAAGGTGTTGTGGGTTCATATGTGCAACTTCCCTGTGGTGTCTGGAAAACATGATTTCTTTGTATTCATCCACCAACCCTAGTTCCTACAATCTTTCTACCCTGTCTCCTGCAGTGATCCCTGAGCCTTGGGAGGAGAGTACACTAGCAATTTTTGTTAAAGTAAGAATTTTTTTGTTTGTTTTTTGAGATGGGTTTCCCTGTAACTCCAGCTGGCCTGGAACTCTCTGTGTTGATCAGTCTGGCCTCAAACTCAGATCCTCCTGCCTCCCAAGTGCTAGGATTAAACGCATGTGCCACCATGCCTGACTGTTGAAGTAAATTCTAAGGTAGAAAGTAAGTGAAAGGTGTTTATGTCCCATGATAAGAATTTGGCATTTATCCTGAAAAGATGAGTTTAATTGCTAATCTTAGGGTAAGGTGATTCTAATAATAGGAGTCAGGGGTGATAGAGCAGAATAGAATCTAGTTACAAGTGACATTCTTGAAGCAATTGCTACTTCTTCATACTATTTCTAATCTGCTGGTGACAAAAGTAAATTAATATTTTGCAACTGTATGTAAGTTAAGACTCAGTGAGTACATTGTATAATTTGGACAGTGGACTCTGATTTTGTCTGCTTAAGTGATCTGTGCTGTCTTCTAGATAGACAAATTTCTTAGACAGTTGAATTTGTTATAAGCAAAGCATTATCATTATGTTCTTGGGGTGGAAGGAGGGCTTACTCTCTGAGCTTAAGCTTCCTGAGTAGTTGGACTACAGGTACATACAACATGCCTAGTCTATTTTTGTGTTCTGGATTCAAGATTCTTGTATATAAAGGACTACTTAACATTTGTTAATAACAGCAAACAAGTTAATTTTTCAGCTATACTTTTATACAAGATGGTTAAACTTACCACAGCAGCTGTGAATGGTTTCTGTAGATTCCTATTTGATAATATACTTTTTTGTTTAAAATTTTTGTGTTCTTTTTAAAATAATCTGACCATTTGTAAAACAACTATTTCTTAAATGCCTATTATGCACTAACCTGTTTAATGTGCCCGGAAACAGCAGTGAACAAAACACAAAATTCTTATCTTTATGGAGCTTAATTTCCATGAACTAGAGTATAAATGTAATATTATTGCTTTCTCTAAAGCAAATCAGGGAAATAATAGGAAAGTCTTATCAGTTTCTTTGTGTATGGATTTTTATGATCTAGAAATTGTCTATAAATTCTTTTCTTCTTGTAGTTTTTTAACACATGTCCTGGGAATGAACTTAATATAGATAATCCTTCATTTACATCAACTCCAATTTGTGGGCAGAAAGTTCTTATTACAACTCCTCTTCAGAAGGAAACAACTCCCAAAGATCAAAAGGAAAATGTAGGGTAAGTTGGTATTGAATGGTCATGTTAGCAAAAACAGGAAGCAGAATGTTAAGGATAGGCTATCTTTTTATTCAAATAACTGGCATATATCATAATCTCTATATCAACATAGGACTTAAAATTTTTTTTAAAGTTGTAACTTCTTGTTTTATCCGTCTAGCCTATTGAAAACGGGCTAAACATAGCATAAAATTTTGATTGCAAGCAAAATGTTTTAGTACTTTTAACATTAGTCCTTTTTTCTATTTTTTTAAATATTATTTTTATTTTATGTGTATGAGTATTATTGCCTGCATGTGTGTAAGTGCACCTGTGTCATGCAGTACCCATGGAGGTCAGAAGAGGGCATCAGATTCCCTGGAACTGGAGTTACAGAAAGTTGCTAGCCATGATGTGGGTGCTTGGAATGAACCGAACCTGGGTCCTCTGCAAGAGCAACCAGTACTCTTAACTGCTGAGCCATCTCTCCATTCCCTAACCTCCCCCTCTTTTTTTTTCTATTTTAAGATGATTGTTGATGTAAGAACTAATTTAGGCAACCATATTTTAAATAGCTCTATAATGCTTAAAGTATATTTATATGTTATAAAATGTGCTTATGCTTTGAGCATGGCTTCCCCTTCCTTAATTCATATGAAATCATATTGTGACAATAATACAAGTATCCAAATGATTGACTAGGTTTAGAACACCTACCATTAGAAGATCTATATTGGGCACCACACCAAGAACTCCTACTCCATTTAAGAATGCACTTGCTGCTCAGGAGAAAAAATATGGACCTCTTAAAATTGTGGTATGTATACTGTTTATTCTCAAGCACTTTCCCAGTGTTTTTGTTTTTTGTATGTTTTTGGTCTTTTTTTGAGATAGGATCTCCCTATAGCCCCAGCTGACCTGGACTTGCTATGTAGGCCAGACTGGCCTTGATCTCACAGAGATCTACCTGCCTCTGCCTCTCAAGTTTTGGGATTAAAGGTGTGCATCACCATGCCTGGTACGTTCCTAGTTTTAATAAAACACAAACTAGTTTTTACCATTTTGATATTTTAACATTAAAAAAGATGTTCATTTAAACTGAAACAAAATTTTATCTCTTGATTTATGAATGTGAATTTGTGTTAATATTTTTCCTTTGATCTGTAAATAACTCTTTGGTTGGCTCATTTAGAACTTTTATGTTCACTAGAAAAAGCAAAACAGTTGTCAACGGAACTTTTTTTTTAAAAAAAAAAACATATTAGTGCTTTTCTTTTTTTAAAATATTTATTATTTTTATGTGTATGTGTGTATTGCCTACATGTAGGTAAATGCAACCCATGTTGTGCAATGCCTGTGGAGGACAGAAGAGGTTGTCGATCCCCTAGAACTGGAGTTACGGACAGTTGTTAGCTGCCATGTGGGTGCTGGGATTTGAACCTGGGTGTTCTTCAAGAACAGCCAGTGTTCTTAACTGCTGAGCCATCTCTCTAGCCCCAATGGAGCATTTTTAAAATATTAAAACATATACATTAAGTTTCACTGCAATAGAATAATTTTAATATTTTGATATACCTAATCACTTAAATAGTAGTATTTAGGAAACTGATGGATCAGGGAACCTTCCTGATGTTCAGTTTTCTTTTCTCTTCTACGCATGTCACTAAGTATACCCTAGATTTTTATTGTGTAGCTAAAAGATGATACAAATAAAGGGGCCTGACTTGAGTTTCAGTATAGGCCTTTGTTGTTGCTGCTGTTATTCTTATAGTCGTTGTAGTAGTGGTTCATGAATTAATAGAGCTGGGAAGTGTTCTGATTATCTGTTCTCATAAATATTGTTACCTTTTAAATACACCAGAAAATCTAAGAATACTAGACAAATGCATATGCTTGATAAGTTTACTGGAAATAAAATGTGACTTAGAGTTTGGTCACTTAAGTGGTGATTTAAGTTATGTTCTATTCTTAGTAATTTTGGGGAGGTTGTTCGTTAATATTTTTAGGTAGTTATTTCTGCTGTAAAATGATTAGTTAATTTACATGTCTATAGAGAGTAGGAGATAATTTTGTCAGTATTAGAAAAGTACAAAATATAGGTTTAAAAATACTGTTTTATTATTAGTGTGCATGTGTGAGTACAGGTGCTTGTGGAGGTTAGAGGACAATTTGGGGGAGTTTTCTCACCACTGGATCCTTGGGATCAAACTCAGGTTGTCAGGCTTGTGTGGAAAGCTCTTTTTTTTGCTGAGCCATCTTGCCAGCCTAAAAGATAGGTTTTTATATAGAGAGAAATTTGCATGCAGAGAGAAAAAAGGAGTTTCTAGCAATGGCCTTTTAAAATCTTTTTAAAAACAATTTAGTCCCAGCCACATGGCTTCTTGGAAGAAGACATTCGAGAAGTTTTAAAAGAAGATACTGGAACAGACATATTCTTCAAAGAAGAAGATGAGAGTGCTTACAAAAGCTGTAAACAAGAGGTAATCTTTTAGTTTATCAGTTTATTTATTCATAGGCAGGGTCTCTATGTAGCATAGACTGGCCTCAAACTTGGAGTCCTCCTGCCTCCACTATCACATGTTAGCATTGCAAGTATGCTTTACCATGCCTACTTCTTTTAGTGGTATTAAGAAAAGTCTTTGTCATGTCCAAGTGACTATAATGTTCCTTGACTATACTGTTTCTTTGTAAATTATTCCTCTTAGCATTCTGCTTCTGTGAAGAAAGTCAGAAAATCACTAGCCTTAGATAATTGGGAAAAAGAAGAACCAGGCACTCAGCTGCTAACTGATGACATTTCAGACATGCAGGTTTGTAAAGAATTAATACAACTTTTAAATGTTTGTTTTATGGTATAGTGGCTTTCATTTCTTACTCATTATATGGCCAGTTTGTTAGAGTCACAGAGCATTTTCTTTAGTATTATTTTACCTAACTCATAAAGGAACTATTATCTGTGGAGAACATTTTATTTTTTTTAAACTTGTATTATTTTGAAATACATTCCTACATATGATATCAAAACTGGTGGCTCACAAACCTTTAAATTTTATTATTTATTTTGGTTATTTCTATAGTACTAAAATATTTCTATAGTACTAAAATTTTATTTTGCTTAATTACCAGTGTATTACTATACATACTAGAAATTTCATCAGAGCCATGCTTATTAGGAGGAAATAAACAGGGCTTCCATTTCCACTTACTCAGTAGTCTCTGTTTGTCTCCATTTTTGAATTAGTTTTTTCCTCTTTCTTTTTTCTCTTAGTCAGAAAATATACTTACAACATCTTTATTAATGATACCATTATTGGAAATACATGACAATAGGTGCAACTTGACTCCTGAAAAACAAGATATAAATTCAGCCAACAAAACATATACACTTACTAAAAAGAAACCAAACCCTAACACTTCTAAAGTTGTCAAATTGGAAAAGAATCTTCAGGTATGGATTTATAAGTTTCTTTAGTGATTTTTGTTGTTGTTTATTCAATAATCACTTTAGACTTACTGATCATGAATTATACTTTTTCTTTTAAATTTGAAATTGGCAAATACAATAAACATCACTATTTTATTATTGAAATTAGATTTGGATTTGAAGGAGACTTATTCATCAGCTTACATATCAACTATACAACTGGAGTTGTAACCAAAGATTTTCAAAGAGATTTTGAGATGGGATCTCACCTCAGTGTGTAGCTGGTCTTGAATTAACAGTCTCTTGCCTCAACTTCCCAGATCCTGGGATTATGGACTTGTGCTGTCATGCCTAGCTTTTAGGGTATTTCTTAAATAGTAGTTTTTTTTTTTTTAAAGATACCTAAATTCACTTCTGGCACTTCTGTAATAAATGTATAGCCTCGTCTGATCTCCTGAGATGGTAAGTGGTTGGAAGCAGTTTCGACATGATTTTGTTGGTGTAACAATTCCCAATAAATTTTGTGCCTCAGAAGCTATGATATAAGATTTTTTTTTTTGCCTGTTGCCATGTGGCCAGCAAGTAGCCATGAATGAAGACTAGTGTAATTTTTACCTCACTATCTTAGGAGTTTACCCCAAAGCATATTTTACTGAAGAGGAAGGTCTCTTCTTTATGCCACAATGACTTCAGCATAGTTTTCCTGACATTCAAGCATTCCTTGAAAACATCTTTGGCAATCGGATAATAGTTACCTCCCATCAGTCTTGAGCCACATGTTTTAGAATGATGTGACATGTTCTGTTAATTGATTTATAATGCTTTGAATTCCTAGTAATTAATTTAGAGCGTCTTAGGAAAGTTTACTATAGTGTAGATACTGTATATAATATAGTGATCTTGACTCTTTAAAGGGGAAGAAAGGAAAGAGAAAGCAACCTTGGCTCACTTTTTGACATTACATTTTCTTTTTAAGTTTTTTTCCTCCTATGTGGTGCATGGGCCCAAACCCAGAACCTCCAGCATGCTAGATAAATACTCTAGCAATGAGCTGCATCTCCAGCTCCTCTCTTCAAAATTTATGAAAAATTTTAGAGCAAAAAAAGATTAATATTCTTTCCTTATTGAGATTCATTCGATTTGTGGGAGTTACTGGGAACAAAACTATTACACTGTCTTCATATGCTAATGAGCAATATACATAGTTATAGTAACTAATGTGATGATATTTTCATATCTGTTTTAAAATATAGTATCTCATTTAAAAGATACAATGCTATTATAAAAAGATTTTGTAGTAATTACTTATAAAAGTCTCAGGAAAACTAATTGATTTTAAAAGTCCAATTGTGGGGACCAGTGTGATGGCTCAGCAGGCAAAGACAGTTGCCACCAAGCCTAACAACCTGAGTTCAGTTCTGGAGCCCACATGATGAAAGGAGAGGACCAAATCCAAAAGGTGTCCTCTGACTTTAACATGTGTGCTGTGGCAAGAGTGTTCTCTCTCTCTCTCTCTCTAGAACTTTAAACATAAAAGCATATTGAATTTTGTCAAAGGCCTTCTCTGCATCTATTGAAATGATCATGTGGTTCTTGTCATTGAGCCCATTTATGTGATTTATGACGTTTATTGACTTATGTATATTGAACCATCCCCGCATCTCTGGAATAAAGCCAACTTGATCATTGTGGATTATCCTTTTGATGTGTGTCTGTATGTGGTTTGCAAGTATTTTATTGAGAATTTTTGCATCTATGTTCATT